AAATTTTTGACCCTATATCCAGTCCATACGGTTAATACAAAAGAAGCTTGTTCTAAATTAATTGAATATTTTTCATATTATAGTAAGCCTATCCGTATAGTATCTGATCGTGGATCTTGCTTTACTTCTCATGCTTTTAAAGATTTTTGTGATATACATGACATTCAACATGTCCTCGTAGCTGCTGGATCTCCTCAGGATAATGGCCAAGTTGAACGCTATAATCACACCCTTAAGGTAATGTTGTCAAAATTACTTCATGAAGAAGGTCAAAATTGGAACCAATTTCTTAACAAAGTTCAGTTTGCCATTAATAATACTTTTAACCACACAATTAAAAATACTCCTAGTAATCTTTTGTTTGGAATGAACCAACATGGTGATACACAGGATTATTTAAAGCTCATTTTAGAATCAGAGAATGCACACAGTAGTGAAAGAGACTTTGAGAAAATTAGAGAAGTTGCACATGACAACAATCTTGATTGCCAGCTTAAAAACAAAGCATATTATAATTTAGAGCATCGTTCTGCTCATCAATATCTCATTGGTGACTTGGTAATGATAAAAACATTGATACTACTCCAGGATTTAGCAAAAAACATATTCCTAAGTTTAAAGGACCTTACAAAATAAAAATAGTTTTGGGTACTGATGTCGAAGGGTTCCAAGTGACACAAATTCCTTTTGATTCAGTTTATGAAAGTAAAAATATGAAACCCTGGATCAAAATTTAATGTTTATTGTTTATGATCTCTTATATTATCAAACTCACAATACCTAATTGTATAATTAATTAGTTGACTTTGTTCCTATTAACTAATTTTGTCTTTAATTTTTATTGAAAAAAAAAAAAAATGTTCTCTTTCTTTTAAGGATTTTTTTTTTAAGATTCTAAGATTTTTTTGTTATTTAATTGTTATTGAAACTGTTAATTGTGATGTATAATTTTACTTATGAAATATTTCACTATTGAAATTTTATTGTAATGAGTGGAGTCCACTCAAAGTCAGAACGGCCGAGTTGTAGTAATACAAAGTTTGTGTGATTGGTGGCGCCACAGTCGACATATTGCTGTTGGTCGACTGTGCACTCTCACACACACCACTACTGTACACTACACAGTACGCTCTCTCTAGTGCTAGTAGCCAGACTGATTTTATTTTGTTATGTTTTGTAATTTTGTTTTGTAATGGCTAATGAGTTAAATTGTTAATTAAATTGTTCGATGTTTTATAAATTTATTGTAGGTAATCATTTGTATAATTGATCCTGACAATATTGGTAGTGGTGGTCTATTGAGACATCACCACAATTTCAAATTGTTGCATTAAATTATTATTTGAAATATTATTAAATACACAATTTTTTTATTTTATAGCTGTATCTAAGGAAAATTAAAATAAGATACCGGATCCTGCTACATCCCACAATTCAACAGGTAGTTGTAAGCAGCTGATAATTCTATTATATTTTATTTTTTGACATTTCAATTAATAATATATAATAATATTTTCTTTATATCAATACAAAATAAAAATATAAAATATATAAATATAAAATAAATATAAATAATAAATAATAATAAATATAAATATATAATATCAAAATAAAATATACTATTACTCTACACTAATTTGTTGTTTTTCAGTGAACAAAAAACCAAGGTCTCTTTTGAAAATAGCTGGTACAACTAAGAAGGCTAATTTGTGTTCCCAAGCAAGAAAACTTTATGCTGAAGCCAAAGTTTTACAAAAGAAGACTCAAAGAATTAAAAAGCAAAACCTCCAACTAAAAAATCGTTTGAAATTAGCAGAAACATATGCAAAAAGAAAAGATTTTCAAAATTTCTCATCCCATTTAAATGCTACAACAATCCAATTTTTCGAATCCCAAATAAAATGCCAGAAAAGGAAACCTAAAGGTAGAAGGTTTGATATAAATGACAAGGTTTTAGCATTGTTTTTGTATAAAACTTCCCCAAAAGGGTATAGATTTTTATCAACTTTATTTGCACTACCATCACTCAAAACCCTGTCTGGATTATTAAATAAAGTACCTTTTCATCCTGGAATTAACCTACACATCATCGAAAACTTAAAATGTCAGGTAAAGAACTTGAAAGAAATAGACAAAACGTGCGTCCTACTATTCGATGAAATGGCTCTAGATCATGGATTAACATATGACAAAAAAAATGACATCATATTTGGGTTTGAGAATTATGATGAACATACAACCACAGCACAATTTTCCGATCATGTTCTTGTCTATATGTTGAGGGAAAAAAAATGGAAGCAACCGATAGCTTACTACTTTTGTAACGGTACTACGAAGACTGATCGCTTAGTATTATATATCAAACAAGTCATTTCTAATGTTATGTCAACTGGCTTAAAAATAGTTGCTACTGTGTGCGATCAAGGTGCCACAAATGTTGCTGCAATAAATAAATTAAAAGATGAAACCAACAGATATTGTATGCATCAAAATGTTGAAAATCGGTACTTTGGTTTTCTTATAGAAGATGTGGAAATAGTGCCTATTTTTGATCCACCACACCTGTTGAAATGTATAAGGAACAATTTAATGACAAAAGATGTTACTTTCACATATCGCGGCGAAAATCTTACAGCGTCATGGAGCCATATCAAGACTCTATATGAGTTTGATAAAGAAAATGAAGTGAATGGCTTAAGATCTTTACCCTCACTGAAAGATGAACACATTTATCCTGAAAAAATGCATAATATGAAGGTTAAATTGGCAGCCCATGTATTCAGTCAGAGAGTTGCAGCAATACTAAGACTCTTAGTGGATTATAGCAAGTAAATAATACATTGTATAATATAATAAAAATAAAACAACTTACTAATTTTTTAGCTCCAGACAATAGTTTAAGTGGAGCCAAGGGAACATCTGAGTTTTTATACTTTATGGACCAGGTATTTGATTCGGTAAATGGATCAAGTGTAAAACCTAATAAAGGTAAAACTCTAAGGTGTGCAGTTTCAAAGTCTTCAGCTCACGTTGAGTTCTGGAATGAAGCAATAGGAGTTTTCAATTCAATGAAGTTTGTGACTAAAGATGGAAAATTAACTACACCCCCATGTGTTAAAAACTGGGTCATTACTTTACAGTCATTTAAGTATATTTGGGGTAAACTAAATACTAGTTTCAAATTTTTATTACTTAGGAATATGAACCAAGACACACTTTAATCCACCTTTGGTGCAGTTAGAAGCCACGGAGTACGAAATACTAATCCAACAACCATACAATTTGTTAGTTCATTAAAAACACTGTTGATCAATAATTTTTCTTCAATTAAATCAATAGGGAATTGTGAAATAACTGATACTGGTGATGTCTTGGATAATCTGAAACAATTTCTTACAGTTAATGAAAATACCAATCCCAGTCATTTTAATGATACAAATGAATTCAAATTTCCACTATTTCAGAATATTCCTAACTCAATTACCCAAGTTGGTGATATGACTATTGGATATGTAACTAGATATTTGGCTCGTTCTATTATGAAAGTTGTAAAACACTGTAGGATTTGTAAGGATAAATTGATTTGTAGTGATAGAACAAACCCATTAATTGCTTGTAGAGCATATACTGTAAAAAATTTAACAGATCCAACGGAAGAATTTATAAATGCAGTTAAAAATATGCTCAATATATTTACTGACATTATACCAAAAATTTGTTTTCAAAAACTAGTAGGACAAAAATTAAATTTTTTATTTGAAACAAACTCCGATTTAAGTCATTTTGAATGTCCTATACATGAATTAAAAGAACTTATCAAATCAAAACTAGTACAATTTTTATTATTTAACTATTGCAATAAAACCAATAAAATTCTCAAAGGTCTGGATAGAAATTTTGATAAAAGTATTTCCACTAACTGCGTAGCATACAGTTATTATATGAAGCACAAAGGTAATAAAAACAAAAAATGAAGAACCTACTATTATTTATATTTTTGTCTTCCCTCTTCAAAGGGTTTTGATATTATTAATTATTATACTTGAAACATTAATACCTATATTATAATTTATATTATATTGGTATGTCGTATGTATCATAATATGTATCGATATTTTTATTATTATCCACATAATATATTGACATTTATGTACAAATTTATAATTCTTCAAGAATTATTATATTTTAGCCTATATCAACTTCTAACATTTTTAATGATTTTATTGTAAAATATATATTTGTATAGTTATTATAATTGCATGTATTGCTTTATTATGTTTATGTTTTAATATACCTAGTATAATTTATTATGTTCATAGTAGTGTAACCTAATCTACAGGGTTTGATATTATTAATTATTATACTTGAAGTAATTTATATATTAATTTATAATATTATATTGTAAGGTACTTATGTATCATATATATTTATCGATATTTATATTATTATCTATATATTTATATATTAATGTTTATATTAAATTTAAAATTTTTCATAAGAGTCGTGAATTGTAAATTTATTAAGAGTAAAAATTAAACATGGAACTATATAAGTTTTGACTATTTACTATTTAGTATTTACTTACCAAATTATTATCTGTATTTGTATTAACAGTAGTTTCACCAGGCAGCAACAAGCTTTTTTTCATTTTCCACTTTTCCAAGTTTGTGGAAGGAAGCTTGACGTTTGAGTTCCCTGTTCAACATTAAAAATTTCGCTGTGGCTAGAGTCACGGACCCCGTGAATATAATGCGTTCACGGACATTCGATGCGCGCATGCGCAAATACTATATTTTGTTATCATGTCCGGGTATCTACTGAGTATCCGGACACTGATAAAATTATTATCATATTATCATTATTTAATACGTTTGTCCGTACATTGTTTTAATATTATCAAAATACGTTTTCCGTACATTATTTTAATATTAAAAGTATATTAATACGTTTGTACGTACATTGTTTTAATATTAAAAGTATATTATATAAAAATTTTAACTATGCGTGTGGGCGACGCTTTTAAAACTTACGCGGATTTTGAAGAGGCTTTAAGTCAATATAAAAAGTCAACATTCGTTGACTTTTATATCAAAGATTCAAAAACTGCGAAATCACAAATTAGACGGTACCCGAAACTGGCCAATTCTTCTGAACAATTGAAGTACTATTATGTAAAACTTGCATGTGTTCATGGCGGATCTTATAGGAAAAAAAATTCTTGCCAAGATCTGCGTAGTACTTCGTAAGTTAATTTTTTTCTCATTTATCAAAATGACGTACTCTTTTGAATTTTATGAATTTATATGAATTGTATAGATCAATGCGACAGGGTTGTGAAGCGTATATTTATCTAATTGCCAATGCAAAAGGGGATGCGTTGGAATTAACTCGTATGAATGACGAACATAATCACGAGAAGTCGGAGACATTATTTTCTCATCTCCCAAATCAGCGAAGAGTCACCCCTCAAGAGAAAATGGAAGTGTTGGAATTAATGAAGTTGAAGGCCAATAAGAAGTTAATTCAGCACAAAATGCAAACGAAGACCGGTAAAGTCATAAATCTCAAAGATATTGCCAATATATATACCACAGGTAGTACGTATGCATTTTAGCCAGTTAGAAGTTGTAATGCAATAATTCTTATTATTTTGCAGGAAAAACACCAAGCCACAACAGTTTGAGTGAAATTGTCGAGCAGTTGCAAAATACGTATAATTGTACTGTTGAAATATCAGCTGATAGCGATCAAAATTTGATTGGTCTGTTTATCCAGGATAAAATAATGCAGAATACATTTAAAGCATTTCCTGAGGTAGGAAATATAGAGGTTTATTGGAAATTAGATGTGTATTTTTAGATTTGTAATACAATGTCAATAATATATAAACTAAAATACTACTATAAATGTGGAATACTGATAATATTTTTTTGTCCATCGAATTGCACACAAATCTTCCTGGTATAAAGTTATATTTTTGGTACTTCTTAAATAAAAAATATGGCGGCATGGCAAAGTCAGAGCTACATTAAATTGACACCCACAAACATTAACAGTAGTGGAAGGTAATGATTTCGATTTAAGTTCAAACTGATTTTTAACAAAAGCGAAGGCATAAGGTGTTAAAAATGTTCCACATTTATAGTAGTATTTTAGTTTATATATTATTGACATTGTATTACAAATCTAAAAATACACATCTAATTTCCAATAAACCTCTATATTTCCTACCTCAGGAAATGCTTTAAATGTATTCTGCATTATTTTATCCTGGATAAACAGACCAATCAAATTTTGATCGCTATCAGCTGATATTTCAACAGTACAATTATACGTATTTTGCAACTGCTCGACAATTTCACTCAAACTGTTGTGGCTTGGTGTTTTTCCTGCAAAATAATAAGAATTATTGCATTACAACTTCTAACTGGCTAAAATGCATACGTACTACCTGTGGTATATATATTGGCAATATCTTTGAGATTTATGACTTTACCGGTCTTCGTTTGCATTTTGTGCTGAATTAACTTCTTATTGGCCTTCAACTTCATTAATTCCAACACTTCCATTTTCTCTTGAGGGGTGACTCTTCGCTGATTTGGGAGATGAGAAAATAATGTCTCCGACTTCTCGTGATTATGTTCGTCATTCATACGAGTTAATTCCAACGCATCCCCTTTTGCATTGGCAATTAGATAAATATACGCTTCACAACCCTGTCGCATTGATCTATACAATTCATATAAATTCATAAAATTCAAAAGAGTACGTCATTTTGATAAATGAGAAAAAAATTAACTTACGAAGTACTACGCAGATCTTGGCAAGAATTTTTTTTCCTATAAGATCCGCCATGAACACATGCAAGTTTTACATAATAGTACTTCAATTGTTCAGAAGAATTGGCCAGTTTCGGGTACCGTCTAATTTGTGATTTCGCAGTTTTTGAATCTTTGATATAAAAGTCAACGAATGTTGACTTTTTATATTGACTTAAAGCCTCTTCAAAATCCGCGTAAGTTTTAAAAGCGTCGCCCACACGCATAGTTAAAATTTTTATATAATATACTTTTAATATTAAAACAATGTACGTACAAACGTATTAATATACTTTTAATATTAAAATAATGTACGGAAAACGTATTTTGATAATATTAAAACAATGTACGGACAAACGTATTAAATAATGATAATATGATAATAATTTTATCAGTGTCCGGATACTCAGTAGATACCCGGACATGATAACAAAATATAGTATTTGCGCATGCGCGCATCGAATGTCCGTGAACGCATTATATTCACGGTGTCCGTGACTCTAGCCACAGCGTAAAAATTTAGGAGTATATAAAACTGAGGAGAACACTCCGATGTGCCGGGTTCGAATCGCCGTGAGCGATAAAAAAATTTTGCATTTTTTTCACTCCGATTGCCGTGTTATAGTAGTGACGACAAACGCCTAGAGCGCTAGTGTTGCAATAACAACTTTTGCCGATGAGTGTCGATTCTATTTAATCTCTTTTCTATGGTATGAGGGCTTCTGATGTTATTCGAAAATTTGGTAGAAATTCTGGGGTAGAGGATCCGGAAAATATTACTTCAACTCGTCTGAGAAAACAAGTTGCCCCTGTTTCACAATTACTCGACTTATCTGATGGCGATATAGAACAACTTGCAACATATTGGCCATAACATTATGGGCCATACGAAAGACATACACAAACATTATTATAGACTGACCGATAATGCGTTTCATGTAAATATTATACATCCACCTATTTCAATATTTATAAACATTTTTTGTTAATTTAATGAAAAAATTTTGATTTTGTAATTTGTTCAACGAAAATTTGATTAATAACTTATTGATTTAATACAATTTAATTATCAAATTGAGTATTATGTTATCAAATAAAATGTCTATATAATCAAGTATAATTTTGCACGGATTATATCAAAGTTAAATATTATATTAAAGCCTGGGCAAATTAAGATAAATATTTTCTTAAGTATTTGACCTTTTCTTTTAATCAGATTTTAAATAATAATATATTTTAATATTAGTTAAATGAACAGTGACTTAAATCATATTAATAATAATAATTGCTTTAGTTTAATAGTTATCATGCTTTAATATTATTATACCTACATTAATGTTTGGTTGTCAGCTGAATGTTGGTTAAATTATTAAAATTTATATTTCATACATTCTGACCCTCTTATGTATCTAATGTATTTGTATTCTGAAGCCTAATTGGATAATCAAAGGCAATATTGTACATTTATATACTAGTTGATAACTAAAAATATTTCTTAACAATTATTTTATTTAAAACAAACTGATTTGCAGGTAGGAAAAGTCAGCAAACTGCTGTTACTCATTGAAAAGGGTGAGGGCCAGAAGTATCGCGGTAATACATTAGATGAGATCAACATTAGTGCTAATGATTTAGTTTTTGACGGAGAAGAAAATGAAGCAGATGATGATTTTCAGGAAAAGGACTCCTCCCCAAACCTCGATCTAATAAATTAATTAAACATAGAAAAACCACGTCCTGTTATAAAAAAACAAATGTCAAACAAAAATATTAAAATTATACCGTGGATAGAAAATGAAAAACAAATAATGACTAAACATTTTAAAAATTACATTTTTTTAAATTAAGTTCCTAAAAAACATGAATGTAAACATTTCGCAAAACAAAATAGCCTTAGAAAAAATAAAAGATTTTGTGCACAATGGTGCCAATATCTATAAAAATAAAATGAAGTAATATTACTATTTACTATATTATAATAATAGTAATAATAGTATGTAAAAATTTTATTATTCAATTTTTTGCAAGCTACTAAATTTTATAATGAATACAGATATAATCATTCCAATTATATTGTTAAGACTTGAGTTTTGTAACTGGTTCTATTATAATTAATATATATTATGTTTTAATTATTATTACATTTTTTGCAAGCTGCTTAATTTTATCAAAATACAGATATAATTATTCCAATATTGAATATTGTATGTGTTGTTAAGTTTTGTAACTAGCTATATTATAATAATTAATATGTTTTAATTATTATTAAATTTTTTGCAAGCTGCTTAATTTTATAATAAATACAGATATAATCATTCCAGTTATGTGTTGTTATTTTAATATTAGAGTGAATTTACATATTATCAAACTTCATGTTATACCTATCCATTATTGGTAGGTTTCAAGCGAGATATGAGCATTTTTAGATTCTAATAATTTATATACTCATATCTTGCTTGAAAATAATGATTTTGTTACCAATTCGAACATAAAACGAGCAACTTACCAAGATACCTAAGCCTAATTCAAGATCAGGGCAGAGCAAAATCCAAAAGGAGCGTAAACATTGCATAAATATTGGTGTATAATCTATTACGACTAATTTACTTCTAAATTAAACATTTATTTAATAGTATTAACATAACTAGGTAGCAACCTACCTTAAACTATTTAGGTATACGAATTACAATGTGCATTAGGTACCATAAATACTAAATAGGTGGTACGTATCACGTATGTATTTAACTTTTTATACAGATTTTGGTTGATTGGAGAAGGCGTAATATTAATGATGTACCAGGTGCAATGCAAACCTAAATAGTTAGGTAGGTCCCCTTTTGGTTTGTACCAGAGACGTAGTAGAAAAGGTCCTCCTAATTTTTTACTTATGCCTACTCATAAAAAAAATCATAGTTCGTAGAACGCAGGTACACGCAGGCCTAGGCATGACGTATAACGTATGGAAGATTCTAGTTTAGTAACCTAATGATTTTTTTTTGTTTTAGAATGTTTTAGACTTTTAGAGTGTTGTATAAGAATACATGAAAACAGATTGGTTGTTACTTGTTAGTGGATGCAAACTGCAAAGCCCCCCACATTATATTACATCAATTATTTAGGCATGAACTCATACATTTTTTAGGACATCACTGAGCTGTGTCCTGGTACACTGCAGTACCCACTACCGGCAGTACCCATGTCCTATATTAATGCAGTGGTCAATAGAATTACCTTGTTAATAACATTGTTACACATAACACATGGCACGCGTGTTGGTTAATTAATTTATGATTGTAACAGCGCATGGATCTAATAAGCACTATGCTTTAAAATATTGAAACACATACCTATGGATCTCATAAGTTATGGATTTTACTCTTTAGATCTCTCAACGTAATGAAATAACTTTTTCACACTCTGGATCTCGCAATGAAAGTTGAAAATTAAAATAAACTCAAGTGTTCTTATAATTGTATTTGTGTGTTATTGTCAAAACATTTTTAAATTATTTTACTACCTATTCCCATGTTTCATATCGACAAACTTACCAGCATGGCTAGTAGCACCGGGAGTCTTAAATCTGATACCTCTGGTGGGTTCCTTACCAAGAAACATAATTGATAATTCCAGCAGCTCGCGATAATCGTCTCTTACTTGTTTGCTTTGAAGCATTTCCTAACAAAAATTGAAGAGGAACAGCTGTCAATGACGCCGTCCAACTGCTCGTATACAGTTCCTTGGCTTACAAAAGAGTATCTAGATGGTTGCTTGTAAACTATTAGTGATATTCTTATTTTAGTTACAAATTTTCATAAATGTACTTTCTTCATATCACGATAATAAGTTACCTACCTAATAAACATAATAGTACAAAATTTGTACTTGATCACTATTTAGCATATTATTATTATTTGTTATTTTAATTAAAAAACATATTGTTTACAGTGCAGAACATATATCAGTGGTTAGTAATTCGGCTTTACAAGGTCATATTAAAGGCCGAAATTTGGAACGATCATTAATTATAAATGAACAAGAAACAAATGATATCGTAGAAAAATTGAATCTGTTAAAATCACATTGTGTCCTTGAACTTTTTTACAAGTATGGACTCGTAAACTTGGTTGATTGTTGTCAAAACACTTGAGTTGAAACTATTACAACATGAACCACACTACATCAGAATTCGATATAAAACAGGTAAATATATTTGGGATGATGTTAGACAATACAGAATAACTGGTAGCAGGTGTTATTCGTATAACGATACACATATAACTTGAACCTTAGAACAGACAAAGAATGGAATGTAAAAGTAGAAGTATTTTTGGCCTGTTAAAATTAAATTAAATTCGCACAGCACGTAATTAAGTAATTCAAGAAACAAATAAACCCATTTTACAATGTGGATGTATGACATGGTCAAATAAACCATGGTTGGGCTATTCACCAAATGGTTTAATAATAAATTAATTGAATGTTCCTATAAGACTCATTAAAATAAAATTTCCTTTTAAAGGGAAAAGTATAAATTCCAGAGTTTATTGAAAACCTTAGTTATATAAATTAAAACTAAAAAAAAAACTCACCAATTAAATAAAAACATATGTGTTATGGGGGCAAGTACAGCTAAAGGTATGGTTATGACATATGTTAATGATTGTGATTTAATTATTTATAGTTCCTTTGAAGACGAAATTGTGACCATTAATGCTCCTATAGATATAGATTTTTTTAAGAATTTGTGGTTAAATTTAAAAACTATTTATTATGAAGACCATGAAATTCATAATTTATTTTTATTATACCAAGGGCCTTATACCATTACACAAATATTTGACAACAACACAGTAACGGTAGAAGAAAAGCAGCAACTTGAAATATAATGTAACGTCAAGAATGTTAAACCGTACCACAAACTTGCTGATGTACCATACATACACTGTCAAGAAGATGTACTAATGTGTTTCCCTAATGATCCCGGTAAAATTCGAGGTCAGGTCATCCTCAATTAATAATTAAACTTAAAACATATCTATGACCATGATTTGACACATGTCTTTATGACAGATGTTCAAGAAACCAGTCAAAACAGCAACTGAACAAGTCATGGATCGCAAATCTTCCCACCAACCGCCGGAAGACATCACCAATGAAAAAATACTCGAACTATACGGACCTGTGTATCTGGAACTGGACAGTGAATATCAAACCACGCAAGACCATCTCCTTGTTCAGAGGATAAATAACCTCAGACATACATGTCGAATCTATGAGTCAACAAAAGAAGCAAGCCAAATGTGAAAGAGAAAAGGCAGCAACACTGACCCGATACTCCTTAGAACCAAGGACTATCAGAGCAATATCAGTGTCCACCACTCCTGCACCAATGTCTCCAACTGACCAAGGCTCATCAGAAGATGCTAGAACACCAAATACATAACCCACTGTTGCAGAACCAAGAACACCTCATTCGAAGGGAATCAGCAACATCGCTTGGAAGAGAGAACTGTACAAAGACACCCGGGCTGCAATCCGACTGCAACGGCTGCATCCTCTACTATTTTAAGTGAAGCAATACATACTAGGTACCATTGAAATTCTAAAAACAACCACTACTGTCGCTTTACAAAATTTAATTTGATTTCAAATTTATTTCGGCCTCTCCACTCAAAATTCAACCAAAAAAAATTAAAAATCAAAAGCGCTATGTAACGAGACAGTGTTCACGAAATATTAACGTTCGATTAATAGCACGCGCACTATTACTATACAGATTACAGACGGACCTTGGTTAATTTGTAAAATATATCACCGTCGAAAGCAGCAAAAATCAAGGTAATTATGTCAAAAAAATGTGCAATTTTAATTTTCTAATCTTAACTTATTATAAAACAAAGTCCCGCTGTCTGTCTGTATGCTTAGATCTTTGAAACTACGCAACGGATTTTGATGTAGTTTTTTTTTAATTGATAGAGTGATTCAAGAGGAAGGTTTATATGTATATAACATGAATACTATAGTAGGGGTTTCTCTACTGCCCCCTTTTTGTGTGTACGAGCATATCTCGAAAAGAACTCTACTTATTTTAATACGGGTTTCACTAATAAATCGGTTGAGTCACGGGGAAGGTTTTAATGTATAATAATTTTCCTTGGTAAAATTAATTGGTTGGCCGAAAATAATAACAATCTTATCTACATATTATATAAAAATAAATGTTTGTCTGTATGCCATTGGACTCCTAATAAATCAGTGGACATATTTTGTGTTTTTGAATGAGTACCTGAATTTTTTAGATTCACAATTAAACCCAGTTGGTTCAACCCGGAGAGGTGCTCAAACAAGTATTTTGAGATTTACGATTTACGATTTTTGTTTAGAAATATTTTCCATTGGCTTTAGGAGAAATAATAAGTAAAAATTAGTATTATAAAATTTAAATGTTTGCCATAAGTTACTCTAACAGAGGAGGTAAAAGTGTCCATTAAATCGTTGCACGCTTACGGTTTCAAATAAAGAAATTATATCTTAAAACAAATATATGAGTTGAATGTACGTATATTGGTAGCTATTATTATAGGTTCTCAAAAACTACTTGACCGATTTTGTGAAAATTTCGAATTGTTCTTGAAGATATCAGGAATGTTTAAAGAGTAGGTTGAACCATGTTCGATTTACTTATACCCTGTTATACTTAACATAAAAAAGTTAT